ACGGAATCAAAAACAGTCAACCATTAGAATAAAAGAAAAACCTACACTGATTATCATACCCAACTGTAGTCTGTGGTCATACCCGATTGCAGTAAGTGACGCCATTCCTCCAAAACCTACCTGTATTACCTACATACGGTCACTCTGTGATACGAGGTTCACTTATTCGTCGCAGGGAGAAACAGTCTTCTCAATTTTACGAATGACGTTCTGACCTCATCTTACGTAAGTAGGAATGTAGATCGACGGTAATACATCTTCGAGTGACCATAAATAACTAGCACATCTCCTCATTGGAGGAGGCAGCCATAAGGAAAGGAAGGAAGTGACAATAAATATATAATACACATGCCCGTGTTATTTTGTGCCTCGCGATTCCGACATGTAGAACAAACATCTGTACATTGAATTTGCATGGTTAAAGTCGATTTATCTATTTACTTCATCAGTCAATGGTAATATCATACATCCATACGCATGCCTGTATCACCATACCGTTTTATTCGTGTGTATTACTCTGAGATTCGGTATATTCTGAGATGTTTTCATTGAAGGCGATGAAATAGATGCGATGTCATGAATAAGCTAATAAACGTACATTACACTTATTATGAACGCCGGAGTAGGCGCGTCATATATCTGAGACAACCAAAATCAACGCTTTTCAAATGAAGAAGAAAATCGCGCGATCATTCCCATGTTAATAATGACCAACTAAATTTCGCTTTGTGCAAGACTATACCTTTTACTGTATCATCACGACTAAATGGATTTCTCGTACGTTATTGGGAACATGGTAATGCGAGATCTGTTACGCAACATGCACGATACATGGTATGTATATCATTTACATTATGAACTACGTTAACGCTAGTCTTAGATTTGACATATAATGAATTCCACTTGCTATCATTTTAGCCTTATGCAATATCTGCATTTCACTGTTTGTAAGGTCCGTGAACCGGGATAAAAGGAACGTGAAACCCTGTGGCAGCCGGTTTAAATCTTTGGTATGGTCTCGCGCTGACCTTTGCGACGACCAAATCGAACGAGCCAAAAAGAAACGAGATAAAGGGATACTGAACGTTGGAATCTATCTATGTTTCTGCGCCTGACAGGACTAAAAGCTGGACCGTTTGTTCTTTACGTATAAAGGTAGATAAAATCGTTTATAAGGTTGTTTCGTTATATTCAATTTGGCTACCAAATAACACTTTATTTCAATAATTCCCTTTATATCTTGTCGCTCGCATTCCAATTTCGACGTTATATTACTCTGAACGATAAAATTTTTTCAAAATCGTAGTAATATCTTAGATATGTCGAAAGCAGACTAAAATCACAAATTGACAAAGGACATTAAAAAGGAAGAAGTGCAATATATCCGGCGTAGCAGCTACTTAGTAATTTTCACCTAATTGGCTATTACCGGCGCTTTAGACTCTCTCGATCCTTTAGTATTCAATTTGTTTTCAATTCTTTTTTTTTAATTCTTCTGAGACGAGCATCATCGAAAGTTTAAACTCATTAAACTACCAAATTTTGTTCTTATAACGTTTTACCTACAAGTTGCAAACTTGGTTACGCAATCCAGACGTTCATACGTTGTATATTTACATCGCAGATTGAACATTATACGAAAATCCAAAGGAAACGAAAAATAAAGAGATATTAACTTCGGCATTGTATACGGGGTGCACAGCAATGTTACGACAAATTCATTCGTTTCAGAATTATACCATTTTTTCGACAGTGAAATATTAACTTCTATAGGAAATATTGCACAGGTCCGCCGTTCATTCTGGACAATAGTCTTCGAACCTCTGTTCCAAACTTCATGTAACATATCAATTGGTCTTCTGTGCACGGTGTGCGCCTTTCGTTCTACTACTGGCTCCTAGTCGAAAATGTATTATAATGCTGAAACGAATAATTTTTGGACCCATAAACATTAAAACTTTCTCTCTTCTTTAATCAGCACCACCTATCCCTAATAAATGATATCCGATATATTCTGTATAAATAATATTCGATATTCGTTATTTTTTCTACAGTTATTGAATTTTTGAGTATCTAAGTCGAAATTGCACGACGACCGCACCGTGGGCTACAGACGATTGTGCAAAGTGGATAAAGAAGGGGAAGTCGGGTTCCTTACTCCAAGCACCTCCGGCTCTTTTAAAGACACTTCCACTTTAATTATACGAAACCGCGTCAGTGATGTTACGATATTACGATATTACGATATTACGATATTACGACGGGGCATAAGCCAAGAGTTGAAGATTTAGGGCTCTGAAAAGTTTGAACTGTGCATCCCTCGGAGGAAACCCCTTAACTACCCTCTGTACGAGAGTACAGAGTATGAATGTGTATCATCAAAGGGAGCACTTGAAAGATTTTGTCGGAACGTTAGGTGTCACTGTTTTCTTTAAAAATTGGAGGAGACGTGTATGTATCGATGCAACGAATTCATGAAGGACACGTAAGGCAATCTAGCGACAGTTTGTAATGCGAAGATTAACCAACCCGAAATTCACTCGTATTCGGCGTAATCAGTTATCAGAATTATTAGTTTCTATTGTCTTGGAGGGTAAAAATTCTTTTCCGATTTTATGGCGCGGAAAGCCGATATAATAAGGATCCGAGTCGACCTGAGCCAGACAGCCTCGAACCTAGCTGGGAGTAACGAGGGAACACGAGTGGCTAAACGTCAGGAGGGTACACGAGACGAGAGTAACGGGCTTTTGCTTTCTGGGGTGTTAAGGGAATCGGATGAGCAGTGGAGGTATGAAGGTGGAAGGTGGAAGGCGGTAGGCGGGGGGAGGGGCCCTACGGCAAGATACAGTTATCAGGCTCCCAGTAGTCTCTAACATCTCCGAATTACCTTTCCACGGTGGCAGTAACAAGAAGTTTGCATTAAATTTGTTTTCGTGTACATACAATCACAAGACGCATTCATTGCCTATTCCATAATTTTAATAAATTATATACTCCGAACTATAATGGTTGTGTATAACTCACGTCTATTGCGCGATATAAGTAATATAATTTAAATTTGTATTCTCTAAGACGAAGTCAAAAAACCATGACAAAAAAATGCGTCGTAAAAAATATTGTATATAAGTATACATATATGAAAGGCACGTGTGCCAAGAAATGGAAACTTTGTAGAGGGACGCCAATGTCGTTTCTTTTCTACATCTATAAGTTCGACAACCATATATGTATACTGTAAAGATAACGTATTTCCAAAGGAACAGCATTTTATTCCCAATCTTGAGCGACGTTTTTTCCGCCCTATACATGTTATCCTTGGATCTCGCCCTTCTGCCTCTCTCTCTCTCTCTCTCTCTCTCTCTCCCTCCCATTCCGCAGCTATCGATACGAATTCTTTTTTTTTCCTTTGCACTCTCCTGAAACCTCGATCGTCGAATGAGACCGATGAATATTCGGTAACGCTATCACGTTGTTGCTTGTCTCAATACTCGCGTATCGATGCTCTCTCGAACGACATTACGAAAGATGCGTTATTACATGCAAAAGGGGATGCTGATTGCGAATTGCTGAGATATAGGTATCTTTTCGTTTTCTGACCACTCTGTAAAGCAGCCCTGGGCTAAGAAAAATGGGCAGAAAAGGGCCAATAGAGATCGCGAATATTCGTTGCACGGTCGTAACTGTTTGACAAGATGTTGCGCCCCATTAGAAACCCCTGAGGTTCGTAAGAGAACGATACTTCTGTGCAGCTCTCGGTTAGGCGTGTAGTCGCAGTCTTCTCTTTCTCTTATGGGGCCGCTCCAAGAGGCATCATCATCACCCTCGCGGAATACCAAACGACACGACGCGACGGAATACATAATGTTCCGATGAACGTGAAAAAATATAGAAATGAGAGAAAGAGTTGGCAGGAAAAACTGCAGTCGCCGTCGTTAAACAGTATTGCGACAAAGTACTTTGGTCCTTGTACATTTCTTTCTCTATCTTCGACCGCGCGTTCAAGCGTTTCGTTTGAAAGTGAATGCTTAGAAATTATGCGAGTTTATCGTGCGAAAACGTTTTAGGAGTCAGCCGAAGGCCGAGTGCCCCGGAAATTCGCCCTCCACGTATATCCTGGGATCCATTACGAAACGGCCGGGTGACCGACCGTGCGAAACGCCACGAGATTTCTGCTTCTACGTTTATATTCTGGGAGCGCCCTTGATATTACAGAGTTTTCTCCAATCGGAGAAGAAGCTATAGAAACTATAGAAAAAGATTTTACAAATATTCTGAATGAATCGCATACCTCGGAATGGCGATTTGCCATTTGGTGGTCGCACATTTGGCTTTTCGTAAGTGACATCCAAAATTATTAATGAAATACAGTCCGATGAATTCATAATGATTTTCAATTCGAATTTTGACGACGATGAGAGCGAAGGGAGGAGGGTCTCCGACTATTTGGATCCTAATCCCTATCGACTGACGGAGAAGAGGACTTTTGGCTGGATATAATTAATTTCCCGTGTCAGAGGCACCGTTGTCGGTATCCCAGTATTCGCGTATCCCCAAATATCCCCATATCCCCACACCTCAAACCCCGTGACACCGTGACACCGTGACACCGTGACAAAGTGACAATATTGCTAGCCATTTCGTTCGACAGGATTCTACTTCTCCCGAAACGTCCTTCGGGCTCAGTCCGAGGTCTCGAGCCCTACCGAGAAAGGGGTGACTTTGGGAACAAGCAACTGCCTCCCTCTATAGTAATCCCTTCTTCGACATACCAGACACTATCCGCCCCGCATCAGCTCCCGTAATTAAACATAACAGATCAAGACTCGAGTGTTATATTAGATAAGTGTGGGTTGGTTATAGCGAGAATGTAAAAAAGTATGCGCACGTACATTACGTATATATATATATATATATTAACAAATAAAATGGTGTAAACTATAGTGTGTGTGTGTGTGTGGGACGTATCCACACGTATGCATGTGAATAATAGTAAGGATTTTCGAATTCTCGTTCACTTGCCGCTACGAACCGACTAATTGGATAAATGTCCGATCAACCCCTGCCTCTCCAACTATCCTTTTCTACCTTCTCTCCAGCTCTTATCTGTCTAATCTATCTTTGTGTAGAAGTGAAAACGAAACTTATAGAAAAGCTTGAGAATTTGGAGGATGATCACAATTGAAGCATGCGGTTACTTAACTGTTCGTTATGAGTATGTTATGGTTATGAGTTATGACTTATGACACTTATCACTCTTTGCCTTGAAAATTCAATGAATTTTTACAAAATACGAGGTCGTATCGAGCCTATATACATACAATGTCGAAATTAAAGAATTAAATCTCCTCCTAATCGCGGTTCGCTCTGTCGGGACATTGTGCTCTCGCAGGATCGTCCACGGTGGCACCTTTCAAGGTCTTCGAACACCTAATGTCGACTCCGAAGATACATCATCTACGTGCTTCCCTACGATGAACCAACAGACTTTATTTACCAATTGATTTGACTGCCTTAGGAGATTTCCTATATCCTTCCACATTTCTGAAATAAGATATTATTCTAATTGGCTTTCATAAATCAGCGACAACACCTGCACGACGCAGCCTGTTTATCGCGTGGCATAGCGATGCCACTAATAACCCAAGGCTCCGAGAGTAACCCTTATACTAGTATATCCCTCCTCACCCAAGCAGATAAGCCAGCAACCTGATTTCACTTTAATTGGACGATTACACCGATTAATCCTAACAGTCACTATGATTTCCCACTTTCCCCGTGCCCACCTCTCTTCTACCTCTAGGCCAGCTTTTGGAAAGTGTATTCAAGAAAGAAAATGAGCACGAGCAAGTAGGGTGGTTTAGACACGAGGAAGAAATCCGAAAGGTCGAAGACGCCCCCGTCGCATAATACGGCAACACCCTTTTATTTTATTTAAGCAGCTCCAGTTTTTCATTACGTTTATTCGTGCTTCATTCTCCCTCTGTTGTGGGCTGTAGTTACCCGGACGTATAATGTATAGAGCAATGAAAGAGGGTTGCAGACTGAGCGAGAAGGCCCTTCTATTGAGATACATTATTTATTATTCGTATTTTTGAGGAAAGTTCTGCCACCGCTGAACAAAAAGTGAACGAGTGTACAGTAATATATAAACAGAGAGAGAGAGAGAGAGAGAGAGAGAGAGAGAGAGAGAGAGACCGCTCCTCAAAGAAAATTTAGTCCTCGGGTGAAGTTTCCTTCGTCACAACGTGTAAATAATGTCTACTCGATCTATCCTATGCCCTCTTGCTCTTTCTCGTTCTCTGGCTTCGAGTTCAACACTTATCTTAAGAGGAGAGAGTTGCGTCGAAAAGATAAGGGTTAGATATTGCAATAAAATATCAAAACTTCCAGAGAAAAGAGAAAAGTAATAGGCACTACGAGAAGGGAATTAGCCAATAGTCTTTCGAGTTTTCTTGTAGATTGTAGATCTCGAAAAAATAACAAGCAACGTCTTGAAGGTATCGTAGAGCATCCATCCATTGTCCGTTGGTTGTCCGTAGTCTCATCTCGGATATCGAAACTCAAAATACTTATAGATTGTCGAATGTCTGATAGTGAGATACTAAATAATAAGATGCCAAAATGGGTATCATTCGGAGGAACAGCGATTATTGGAAACTGTGAATCAAAGGAGAAGGAGAAAAAAGAAAAAGAAGAAAGAAACAGTCAAATGCGTGTCCGACATCGCCATGTGAAAACTATGAAATATGATTTACGTCTATTTCTAGTTGACGCGTGCGTGGATGTAGGAGTGTTATTTTGAGGGATCTCTTGGCCAATCGAATCCTACAAAACGAAAGATCCATATTAAATTTGCAAACTCCTTTTCTCCTTTGACGACCTTGGGAATCACTATCGATCGAAGTGGAACTGGAAATGCTGCGGGGATACCTCGAAGAGACTACCTCCACCCTCGGCGGCGGTATCAGCGCGATAGTCATCGCAAATCCAGTAACGGTAACGAGTTTGCTTGCAAGAGGAAAAAGCGAAAGGGGCTGGAGTGGGGTGCACTGGTGCACTGGTGCACCGGGAAGGAGGGAGGGATCGTACAATATACGTGGAAGGGTGGTTTACTGGTTTATTTGGCAACGATTTCTATAATTGCATAATTTATTGCAACTCCCATGCGCCTCTGGGAACTATTCTCTACGTTCAACAACAGGTACGGTCGGATCTTCCCGAGATCAGTTGCACCGATCAGTTCGATTTCTTAGTTCACTGAAGTACATGCCAGTCTCTGGGTTTCCGCGAGAGCAATAGTCCCCTCTTTCCGCGGGACACCTTAGTCTTAAGAAGCTGCTGTAGTACATTATAGTACATTGTAGTACGTAGCTGTAACTTGCTAGCTTTTACCTTTTACCTTTTACCTTTTACCTTTTACCTTCTAGCTCCTGCCATATTCCAGCTTCGCGGTAGCATCGAGCGCGCCGTGCCAGCCTCCCACTCCCCCCCCCCCCC